TGTGGAAAATGTTCATGTGAGCAGGGAGGGGGAGCAACTGACAAACCATCCAGGAATTCCTCAGAACTGATAATTAAATTTTAATTATTGGTGTGGGACATTATCCCTCAAGAACTGATCGGTCTAAAGTCCTAAAACGAGAAAACTCAGATGATTTAGGGACTGCACTGGGTATGCATTTATCTTCCTCATTTTTTTTTTTTTAATCTATAAAAGGACTGAGTTGGATTATAGCAATATCTCCATGGAAGTTGAATTTTTGCTCATGAATATAATATCTACTTTGTCTTTTATGGGCTCTTATCTGCATGCATACATGGAGAGGAGAGGGATGAAGCAGACTATTTCCACACATCGCTATGGTCTTAGGTATGTTTTGGCTGTTGTGCCTGCATTCACAGTAGCCTAATGAGATGTAAAAAAAAGTAATAATAATAAAAAAAAATTAGCTGTTATTTAACTGAAGGACGCTTTGGAGGTAGGCAGCCTTGAACATAAATTATGACTCTGCTAAATCCTTGGACTTTGAGAAAGATGCATAACCTCTCTGATCTTTTATTTACCCATCTTTAAAATGGGTGTAAATATATTTTGGAGTTGTTGTGAAGATGTAATTTACTATCTGCAAATTACCCTGTAAAATGCTTGTCATGTAATAGAGAGTCATAATAGGCAGCAATTAATATCTTTTTTTGGTAATTCTTTTCTTTTTCATCCAGAGAGCTTTTGTTGGTTAAAAAAAGGGGGTTATTAGCCTCTACTTAAAATCAAAATTTGTTAACTTTTGTTGTGATGCTTCCCAGCATAGTAATTCTTATCTTAGGATGTGGCTTTCCCTGCTTTCAAGTTCTCCTCCTTCTCTTCCAAGCTTTCATTAAAATCAGTTCCCAATTATTTGCTTAAGAGGATTTGTGTAACAAATCTACCCCAAATGGTAAATTATCATCTACTGTGTCATTGGCAAGCGCTGTAAGTGGTGCTTTTATTTTAACAATTGATAATCCTTTTCCAGCCATGATTTTCATAACTTATTGATAGATTCATGAGAAGGATATTATTGGGCTGCTTGGTAGTCCTCACTAAGGCTCTTAATTAGGTGGTGAATAGGATTATGATGCTATCTTTATTTCTCTTAGTCCTTAAACTTTTTGGTCCTTAAAATTGAGTTTTTAACAATAAATTGCCTTCATTGGTGATAACCAATGAAAAGACATCAGAAATGTTGGGAATGACAAATACACATGGGATTGTATGAGTTTGTGTAGGCTTTAAGTGCCTCTAAAAAATATGTCAAATACTACCAATAAGATTATGTCTTACAGTCTTTCTTCCACTATTAGAGATCAAATATATTTCTAGCAAATTGCATAAACCTGGTGTCTTTATAATGTTAACTGTAATTTCTTAAGTTCTTACTATATGTCAAACATTATGATAAATATTAGATGCACTTTCTAATATAGCCACCAAAAATAATCCTAAGAATTAAGTACTAATATAATTTCTTTTTTATATACAAGAAGAGTGTGGCTTAAAAAGTTCAGAAACTTGCCAAGTGACCCAGTAGAGAAGTGGTGGAGTCAGAATTCATATCCAGGTTGTCCTTGTCCAGATATTATGCTCTTAACCACTGCAATTACCACCTTGTAAATTTATCCCTGGGAAATGAAGTATTACCCAAAGACCAACATTATCACTGCTATCTATCAAATCTATCTACCAAACATAATAAACAAATTAATTACGCTTTGGTGAAAACAATTCTTCATTTCCACCAGTGGTTTAAACTATAAAGGTTAAGGAGTGAGTTTTTGAAAATCCTGAATTTAAAAGGAATATTAGACTTTTCCAGTTCGATGTAAGAGATATTTTCAGGTTTCTTTCTTTGACCTGAAAAAGGAGAGATGAGTCCGGTATCCATGTAATACACCAAACCTCTAACATGCTGTGTCTACATGATGCCAAAATAACCTGAGCCTGAGTACAATATAAAACTTCTTTTAACTGAATTAGATGACTTTTTGAGCACTAGACCATGCTGTTCAGAAAAAGAAACTATTAGGGACTTTGCTTTTCTATACACGTTGACTAAAATGGCTACTGTGGAAGTAAATTTATTCTTAATCTGAGCACAAGACTTAATCAACAATAGTAGGAAGTAGGAAGGGTTCATTTGAATTTCATCAATATTTAGTAGTGTTTATTATCTATTGTCGTTGTTGTTGTGGGCTGTCAAATCAATTCTGACTCCGTGATTCTACAGCACAGAGTAGAACTGCCCTATAGGGTTTCCTAGACTGTAATCTTCACAGGAGAAGATCATCAGGCCTTTTCTCATGAGAAGCCACTGGTGGGTTTAAACCACCAACTTTTGGTGGGCAGTTGAGCACTTAACCATTCCTTAATTATGTACTAGGAATTGGATAAACAAACAAAATGATAGGATCCCTAGAAATCCGAAGTCAATTGAGGAGATATACTAATAAACAAACTTTTATTCATGCACAGAAGTATGTAAGTATGAAAATAAGATATGTTCAAAGGACAGAAATGGTTTAGCAGTGGAGATTCTGATGAACTCTGTCTGGGGGAAAAAAAAATTAGGGAGATTTTCGAAGAGGGTGTCATGTATACCTAGAAATTAAAAGACTGAATAGGAGTTTTCCAGGGAGACAAATTGAAAGAAGGCATTTGGCAATGGTAGCTTTTGCCTTGTGAGATAAGATGGAGGGCGTGCTGTTATCGAGTGACTGCTTGCTTCATGAAGATATCTGTATAAAATTCACAGGGGATTACAAAACATCCAGGGTTTTTGCAACTGCCTCTTTAATTTGGTGAATTTGCTTCATACTGAGGGGGTTATATTTATGGGTTCAAGACACCAACTTATTCCAAAAGTGTCTTTGTAATTCCTAGTCTTATTAAGCAGAAACAACTCTCTGTGTTCTGGTAGGAATGGAAACAGATTTAAATTCTGAAAAACTGTACAACTGAATGGGCTCTAGCTGGCCCTCAGCATTTGTGCCCATAAAGTGACTGACAATGCCCCTTGAGGCAACTGTGTATTCACAGGAGTATGCTTTTCATTAAATCTTCAAAATATAAACAGTGTTTAGAAGTTGATCTAAAATATTTGCATTCCTTGATGCACACAAAATTGCACATATACATGCGTGCACGTGGAGCTGAGACTATTTCTGGCACGGTCTTATTACTTTATAGAAATACTGTATACATATGTGTTGTAGGTGTTTGCACATATATTCAATATTTCCTTAAGTGATCTTGGAAAAGTCATTTAATGTCTTGAAGCCTTAGTCTATCATTCAATGTGATAATGATGATTTCTGCTCTGCTCACTTAACAAGGTTTCAACAAAGATCAAATCTCATTAAGATAATGGCCAACTGAGAAACTGTAGATGTCATTTGTTATTATAACCATTCCTAAAAATCATCAAAATACTTCTTATTTACAGCTGAACTTCCTAACTGCTGTTTGGAGGACCTGGATGGAAATATTGTAACCTCTCCTGTCCACTCTATTGCCTGCTACTCTTGATGGAAACAGGGCTGTGACTTGACTTCTCTCTTCTCTTCCCAGCTCCAGCTTTCTCTTATCTCCGGGCTTCATATTTTAGAGAATTCAGTTTACCAATTCACAGAATTGTTTTATTTAAAAAGCTCTGATTTAAATCAAAACACGAGAAAACCCTCTAAAACATATTACATGCTGATCAATTGTTCATGACCTTCAATTTCTTGTTGTTTTTTTCCTTTGTTGCAACTTTCCACTGGACTGGAAGCTCTAAGAGACTATAGAGAAGTCGGTTATGTTTACCAGTGTATATCCAGAAACTTGTAGATACCATATTGGCAAAAAGTTATTTTGAAAGCAAGAAAGGAAGAAAAAGTGAAAAAAAAAGGACCACCAAAAGGAATGAATGAATACATGGTTGAATGAATAGCAGCTTCTTGCTATTGTAACTGTGCCTGCCTCTAGGATTCTTCATTATCTCTTGTCTAAGTGGCCTCTTTAAATCTGCTAAGGCCAAGAAATCATTTAAACAAGCGTACTAATATTGTGTGTAAACCAAGAGTAAACAGACACAGAATTGGGGCTAAGGAGCTCTCAGTGAATAGACATGGTAACTTCAAGTTGTACAAATCCTCCCTATTGATAATATTTCTCTGAAATGGGCATTCTTAAATAAGTGAATTCTGTCCAGAGAATTGCAACGTTATTATATGCTATTAGCGTTATTAATATTTTCTATTTATAGATTGCTTGTGTGTAGACATTGTCTTAAATGCTTTGTACTATTTCGTTTAATCACAAAAAACCCTCCCACAAAATTGCTTCTATCCTTATTCTTATTTTGTACTTAATGACACCATCCTAGATACCATAGTATGGAAGTGATGAAGCTGGTAGAATATGTAATCATTGTGTTCTGTGACTGTTTTTGCTGTTGGTGTGCATAGCCTTTGATCCTTAGGATACTTAAGCACTAGAAAGTTGTATCAGGATGATGCAGAAGCAGCACAGGCTGCTGCTCCTGCCTTTCCTTATAGGCTGGTGGGGTAGTGCATGAAGCAATGCTGTTCACTACTTGGTTAGGGGTAGAACAAAACCAGAATCATGTATTTCTGAAGTAGGAGAGCTGTGAGTAAGGCTTTGAAGAATCAATAAGGTTTGGAAATACCCTGAACAGACGAAAGAGTATTTCACTTGAGAAAAGGCAAAAATATCTGTTTAACTCCAGTCAGTATTTGGGTCTAATATTCTTATCTCCTCCAGAGAAAATTGCTTCCAAAGGCAGAAGGAAAACTTACCATTCGTATTAAAACTCATACTCAAGACATGATATCAGATCAAGAATTCTCCTTGCTCTCTTACTGATGTTTTGAGTTTCCAGCTCTGTGACAGATTAGGCATTTGATTTTGTCTTCATGTGAGTGGATGGTACTTGGAGAGGAAGGTACCACCTGACCTGAAATATAAATATGATAAAAACAAACTTCACTGTGACAGAATTTGTGTTCCTGGGGCTCTCATCTCAGCCAAAGGTACAGCTCATTCTTTTCATTATGTTCTTAGTCTTCTATTTATTAACGGTGGCTGGGAATATTATCATCATCACGATTATCCAGCTAGAACCTCTTCTCCAAACCCCCATGTACTTCTTCCTCACCAATTTATCTTTTCTGGACACCTGCTACACATCCACCAGTGTCCCACAAATGCTGTCCAACATGGCGGGGAAGAAGAAGACCATCCCATTCTCTGGCTGTGCTACTCAGATGTACTTCTCCCTCTCCTTTGGAATGATTGAATGTGTTCTCCTGGGTGTCATGGCTTATGACAGATATGCAGCCATTTGCCATCCTCTTCATTATACTGTCATTATGGACCGAAGCACCTGTGTCCAACTGGCAGCCATTTCTTGGTCCAGCAGCTTCCTGAGTTCCATGGTTGTCAGTGTCCTCACCTTGAGTCTGCCTTACTGTGGGCCCAATATCCTGAATCACTTTTTCTGTGAAGTACCTTCTGTCCTGAGCTTGGCCTGCACTGACACCTCACTTACTGAGTTGGTCATTTTTGTCTTCAGTATCATTATCCTCTTCATTCCTTTCCTCCTCATCGTTGTTTCCTATGTCAGAATCCTTCAATCTGTCCTGAGGATGCGATCAGCCTCTGGGAGGCACAAGGCACTGTCCACATGTGCTTCCCATCTGACAGTGGTGGCCTTATTCTATGGAACCGGCATCTTCGCGTACATGAGACCTCAATCAAAGTCCTCCCGGGCAGGGGGCAAGATCATCGCAGTGTTTTATACAGTAATCACACCCATGCTCAACCCCTTGATCTATAGCCTCAGGAACCAAGATGTAAAAGAAGCTTTCAGGAGAGCTATTGCAAAACAGAGGACCTGAGAGCTGCTAATGGGAAGCTAAGGTGATTGAATTCTGACTATGAAGTGACAGAGTAAAAAATAGCTGGAATAAAAGACACAGGTAAATCCTGATGTAATATCAGAAGGACAGAAATATTTCTCCCAAGGACCCAGTGCAGCTTTGAAGTGTCAAAACCACCCCCTTCATTGAGTGACAGCTATTTTCTTTGTCACTGAGAAAACTTGGTATCTAATGTCATAGACTATCTGAAAGTAGTTCTTTGAAATTATATCAGTAAGATAAAATATCCCACTCCTACCTGGAGGATCTAAGTCACTTTGTCATAGAGAAGCAGTCTGAATTTCCAGTCTAGGTGCAAAGTTTTAGATAAGGGAATTTTGAATGCAACATTCTACATCTATCTTAATTTTGTAGTTTCCAATGAAACAGGACCCTATGTTGGCTTTGTGGTTAGACCTGATGTTGACCCCTTTCCATATAGCTCTGCTTTGCAACGAACATATCCTAATACAGCTTCATTTACATTTCACCTAAATTCTACCTTTCCCCAAATTCTATGAAAACTCTGTTTCTTCCTTGGTTTGGTGAGACACTCCGTGGTTCTCTGGTATGTGATCTCCCTCTTTGCAATAGATCAATAAATATGATTTTATTTGTTTCTGGGTGGTCTTAGGTGATTGTATGGACAAGAGGATAGCAATGATCAGAAGCAAATGATTCCATCATAAGTTAATGAATTGATTTATTCATTCATTCACCAAATATTATTGAATGACTATGTAATAAAAAAACAAAACCTAACCTGTTGCTGTCAAGTAGATTCCAACTCATAGTAACCCTATAGGACAAAGCAGAACTGCCCCATACGGTTTCCAAGGAGCACCTGGTGGATTTAAACTGCTGACCTTTTAGTTAGACAATAGAAATGTTTTCTTTCCTCAAACATACACACACACATATATATACAGACACACATATATACAAAATATATTTATAATATACATGAAGATGCATGCATAAAATATTTATAATGTACACATAAATATACACACATACGTTGACAAATTGCCATAAATACCACAAGGAAATAATCATCAAGGTGCTGTGACAGACAATAATAGGTAGAGTGTCCTCTGTGAAGACACATACATACACATACAGTTATATACATATATACACATATATGTGTATGTGTGTGCATGTATAGATTGATTGAAAGTAAATTGGTTAATGTCACAAATTTGTGAAAACAAGTGTTTTCTGCGATTTGGAACTTTTCATCCAGGAGTATATAAAAGGAATTATTTGAATGTAAAGAAAATTAAGAGAATAGTCAAATGTAGTTTAGAATTAATATACTTAGGGTGAGAGCTTAAATAAGGTCTATGATTGATATAGCATTAATTTAGAGATAAATTGCCTCTAAAATTCTTTCTCACATGTTGATGTCACAGTTTAGAATTAACAAAAAAGAATGTAACTCACCTTTCAGAGTTATCCAACCACTAAAATTCAACTATGTCTTCTACCTAAAATAAAGGCAGCACACAATCCGGCAATGGTGTAGCTCTGCTGAGATAAAGTAGCCATCAACAGTTTAAAATTGATTCAGAAAATAAAAGGCAAAATCACTAACCAAACAGTCAAATTCATTACACAATAGTTTTTATTTTGTATATTTGCCTTGATATACAAATTACGTGATACATTTTATACTTTCCTTAATATATAAATTAGGGTTAGAAACATATACTTAGGACTAATTTTCTTCTGAGAAATTTATTTAAACCAAAGATAACATTTCAAATTCTTCCAAATAATACCTAATACCAAAAAACAAAACAAAAAAAAGCTTAGTTGGCTAAATATAAATCAGAAATATAATATTAAAATAGTTTTTAAAAAGATAACGAAAAATACTTCAAGGTACATACAAATAGAAAGTTGATTTTTGGCTCAAGAAAATTATCATCCATCCTGCCTCTCAAAGTCAAAAAATGGGTAAAATAATTAAAAGTGAATACAAAATTGTAAAACATGTAGAATAACTGGAAGTGAAGTTTTTTCTTAAAACAATTTATCATTTAGGCCAATTGCTTGACCTGATTAGTTCATTTTTTGATCAGTCTGTTTTTTATCTGTAACCTTGGTTTTGGGTGAACAAAGAAAAATAATACAAACTAAATGGCCCAGGCCTTTTCCTAGGCCTCATCTAGACCTCTTCAGGCATGTATTCTCTTCTTTTCAATGTTTTATTTTATTTCTTTTTTATTTTTACTTAAAAGGAAAATGTTATATTGAAGACATTTAGCTGGTAATTATATACACTACACGTTATAATCATTGCTAGAACAACAACAAACAATTGCATGACTAACACACAAAAAAATGATTAACCTCTTACAACATCAAATATCCAATTGGAATGATTTTCTTCCTACATTTGTTTGGGGCTCTGGCAACATGGAAACAACACAGCTAGCTACGAAATACAATAACCGGTAGTTTGACTTTCATTTTAAAATAAAAGTAATATCTAGAGTAAAAAAATCATTAGAGAATAAACTATTGTCATAAACTACATCTTCTCAGTGCCTGATTGATCAGTATTATTGTATCTTTTAAGAACTTCATATAGAGTGAGAAGAAGAAAATCGCAATTTCAAAATTATAATTATTTGTGTCAAGTCAGGAGAAGTCATTTATTTTCTACGGACCTCAGCTCCTTTATTTATAAAATGAGACAGTTGTTGGCTTATCTCTAAGTATTTGGCAAGGATACAGAAGCAGAAAAATTCAAGAGTCATTCAAGAAATAGTTTTACAGTTGAATCCGGTGGATGAAGAGGAATGGGGTGAAGTGAGTGCGGTGAAATAATATCAGAACAGTGGTTTGGGGAAGATGGTCCAGAATGCCAAGCAAAGACTTCGGCAATTTTATAGCTCCTGAGTTATAGACGGAGCCCTAGTGGTACAGTGGTTAAGCATTTGGCTACTAACCACAAGGTTAACAGTTCAAATCTACCAGCCGCTTCTTGGAAACCTTATCCGGAAGTTCTACTCTGTCCTATAGGATCGCTATGAGTCAGAATCGACTCAACAGCAAAGGGTTTGATTTTTTTTTTTTTTTTTGAGATATAGAAGAGGGGTAATATTGAGGCATATAAGAAATTTTGGTGGTGGTGGTGATTTCGAGTCAATTCCAACTCACGGTGACCCCATGTGACAGAGTAGAACTTCCCCACAGGGTTTCTCAGGCCGTAGTCTTTACAGAAGCGGATCACTAGGACTTTCTTCTACAGAGTCACTGGGTGGGTTCCAACTACTACCTTTCGGTTAGCGGCCTTTGCTTAAACATTGTGCCACCAGGGCTCCTTTAAGAACTCTTAAACAAAAAGCTTAACCCACTGTCGTGGAGTTTATTCCAACCCCTAGCAACCCTTGGGCCTTAATAATTCCAGGTACCGTCTCCAAGGCAGAGATTGAAGGTAACTGTTTCAGCTTGAATTCCTCCCTTGGTAGAAGACTAGACATGATGCTAAATATAACCTTTTCACTCAAGTTCCCTTAAATAAAGTACACCATCTAATGCAACTAAACCCTGGTTAGACTATACTCAGAGTTATCAGCCTAATGGCTGTGTTGCTGCAGTAATTGGTGGGCTGATGGATATGTGACAGGATTTCAACAGGCAAAGAGGCATCATCTCAGCTATAACCCATAATTGACAAACTCCCTATTCCCTAAGGGATAAGTTCCCATGTTCTTAAATTGGCAACAGAGAGATCATTGATCTACCTTCCAGCTTTACCTCTAAATCCTTCTCTTGGGGACTCAGCCAAGCTGGCCCATGGACATGTCCATGGTTTCCAGCCTCTTTGCCTTTCATCTCCTTCTCATCTTAATTTCTAGCCCATGCTTCAAAGATAATTCAGATGCCTCATCCTTCATAAAGCTTTCCCTGGTTTTCCAAGGGGTATTGCTATTTTTCTAGCGTGCATTCCCACAGCACCTTGTCTGTGATTCTCTTTTGGCATGTTTTTCTTTTTTTGTGACACAAGCTGTCTTAGTCATTTAGTGCTGCTCTACCAGAAATACCACAGGTGAATGGCTTTAAAAAAGAGAACTTTGTTCCCTCACAGTCTAGTAGGTTACAAGTCCAAATTCGGGCATCAGCTCCAGGGGAGAGCTTTCTCTCTCTCTCTATTGGCTCTGGAGGAAGGTCCTTGTCATCAATCTTTGCTGGTCGAGGAGCTTTTCAGGCACAGGGACCCCGGCTCCAAAGGATATGCTATGCTCCCGGTGCTGCTTTCTTGGTGGTAAGAGGTCCCCAACTCTCTGCTTGCTTCCCTTTCCTTTTATCTCTTGTAAGATAAAAGGTAGCACAGGTCACACCCCCGGGAAACTCCCTTGCATTGGATCAGGGATGTGACCTTAGTAAGGGTGTTATAATCCCACCGTAATCCCCTCTAACATAAAATTACAATAACAAAATGGAAGACAACCATACAATACTATTCAATCCATGACATTCTACCCTTTGGCCCCCCAAAATTCCCATCCTTTGTATATGTCAGACACATTCACCCCATCATATCATAGCAAACGTCTTAAATCAACTCCAAGTCCAAAATCCAAAAATTCCTCTTTATCTGTGAAATCTAGAATACAATTATCTACTTCCAAAGTACAATGGCAGAACAGGCAGAAGCTAGACATTTCCATTACAAATAGGAAAACCTGGAGAGAAAAAATGCATACCAGGCACCAGGTAAGTCATCAGAACACATTACATTAGCCCTCAAGGCTTGAAAATAATCTTTTGTTCTCTGAGACCATTTACACAATGGTCCTGCCCTCCAGACTCTAGATATTGGCCATGCTCTCTGGATTCTGAGTGGAGGCCCCTTGACCCTGAGCTTCAGCTCCACCTTCGAGGCCCACTGGGACAGCAACTCTGCTCCCTAGGCTTTAGGCACACCATTCTCCTAGTCCATCTGAGTGGTGACTCCACCCTTA